TTGATCACTGAAAACAAAGGGAAATCACAGGCCAAAAATGTCAGGAAGGAGTTTAAGGCTGTGAATACTAGGGATGTTAAAATGCATTTAATTTTGTAAATGTGTAACCACTGAAATTTACAGCAATTATACATTTACACATGGGGCAGCTTGCGGGAGCTAGCTCTTGTGAAGTTTCCTGCCTCTTCCCCCTGCTTCTGTGTCAGAGGCAGCAGCGTGTGTGTGTATGTGGGGGGGGGGGCAGGAAGGAGTTTAAGGCTGTGAATACTAGGGATGTTAAAATGCATTTAATTTTGTAAATGTGTAACCACTGAAATTTACAGCAATTATACATTTACACATGGGGCAGCTTGCGGGAGCTAGCTCTTGTGAAGTTTCCTGCCTCTTCCCCCTGCTTCTGTGTCAGAGGCAGCAGCGTGTGTGTGTATGTGGGGGGGGGGGAGCTCTGCAGGAGGTGGCATGCGCCTCCCATGGCCTTTGAATCAGAGCCAGCCTGGGGAGCAGATGGCTCCACAGGAGCTGGTTCATGTGGGGTGCCAGCTTAAAAGTCAGCTCCCCATGTGCACTGACTGCTGACCGCTCTGGCAGCAGGGGGAAGAAAGGGGTCAGGCAGCTTCACGGGAGCTGATGCTTGGGGGAGCCAATTTAAAAGCTGGCTCCCACCTCCCTGCCCCTGCTACTTTGGATACAGAGACAGCAGGGGTAGGGAGAAGCGTGTGTAACCTTTAGGATTAACCAATGAGCCCAAGCTACATGTTCACATCCCTAGTGAATACAAGATACATTATTTTTTAATTAACACTGCAGGTAAGAGTTTGGACCAGTTAAGTTCCAAGTTTAAAAAAGGAACTTTTTATAAACCCTGGTGCTTCATGATCAAGATTTCAAATGTTGATTGTGTCAGTGCTAAACAGTCTACTCAACATCTTCATACCTCACCACCATTCAATACATTACTACCACTCTTCCAATGGAAAATCAGCTACAAACTTTTCCTTACTATATAGATAAAATTTTTATAAGTGCCCAGATGACATAGGAACCTAAAATCCCATTGATTTTCAATTACTCAACAATTTAGGAGCTGAAGTCACTTTATGCATCCATCACAATTGGTCATCTGCCCAAAAGAGACCACCTATACTTCAACCACATTGACAGCAAAATAAAGTTGCTGACATTTCACCATCACTTGTTTATATTCTAGACATTCATTGAGCATGGCATCCCAAGTTATCCAATGTCGAAGATACTTTCAATGCCTATATGCCTCTTAACAGAGCACAGAAACCACATCATAGAAAAGTAAAGACAAGACAACACACATCCAAGTCTATCAGTAAATCATCAGACATGAAGCAAGTGGGTGGGAATGCTGGTTCAAAAAGTTGAAGTCTTAGTTCTACATCTTTCCTATTATAATTTTCAATAAAGTTTGTCATCTTTTAATTCCATCACTGATAAATGACTTATATAGTCTTTAAAAGTTAAGAATTACTAAAAGTTTAAACCATCAGAATTATTTGACATCAGCTTGCTGTTCTCAGCAAATATTGGTGTTTTGTTGATACAGACAGAGCCAGCTGCTGGAAAATGAGTTGAGACTAGTGTTTAATTTTTAACTGACAGCCTATTAATCATGATTAATCACACAATCATGCTTTCAAACTATGAGACTGCCACCATTTAAATATTTTGGAATGCTTTCTGTAGTTTCAAATATATCAATTTCAAATCAAACTTCAAAGTGTACAGTGCTCATTTATATTTGCGATTACAAATACTCGCATTGTAAAAACAAAAGAAATAATATTTTTCAATTCACCTCATACAAGTACTTTTGTGCAATCTTTTGATCATTAAAGTTGAAGTTAGGGGAGATAATGTTGCCTGACTCTTGTTTACAATATCACCTGAAAGCGAGAACAGGCGTGTTTGCATCAGGGATGTTAGATACAGTGTAACTGAATAGCCATGTAACCGCATGAAATCTTATCTGTTACATGACAGCCAGCCAGTGTGCTCCCAACCCCCACTCCCGGAGAGCCCCGATACCCCACGCTGCTGCCTCTCTATCACAGGCAGCAGCACTGGGTGGCAGGTGGGAGCTGGTCTACAAGGGGAGCCAGTTTAAAAACTGCTCCCTGTGCAGACTAAGGATGTTAAATATCGGTTAGTTTACTAGTCGAGTAGTCGACAGAATTTCCATCAACTGGTCGATAGGCACTTCAACATTCCTCTTTGGTCAGCTTGGGTCTCTCCAGTTGATCGTGGATTCCGTGGAAATGCTGCGTGAAGCCTGGGATCAGCTGGGGAGTCTCCAGCTGAACCTGGGCTCCACGCGATGTTCAAAGGGGAAGCACCGCACATCTGAGCCAGGGTCACTTGTGCAGCACTACAGCTTTGAAGTACTCCCTATTTTTTTTAAACAAGCATCATCATCATCAAAGCATATCCTCTGGAATCATGGCTGAAGCATGAAGGGGCATACATATGTTTAGTATATCTGGCTCATAATGACAGGTACAAAAGTGTTACATGAATGCCTGTTCACTTTCAGGTGAAATTACAAATAAGAAGCAGGGAGCATGCTTCCTTGTGAACAAATGGTTTGTCTTAGCAACTGGCAGCACAAGTAAAACCTGAGTGGACTTGTAGGGTCTTAAGTTTTCTTTTCCTTTCAAATGCAGGTATGTTCAATTAAATTTTTAAATTACAGAAAGATTGCACTACAGTATGCATGTTAGGTGAACTGAAAAATACTGTTTTTAATCATTTTTACAGTGCAATCATTTTTAACAATACAAAGCTTTGTATTGTATAATTGAAATTCATGTATTTGAAAAGGTAGAAAACCTCTAAATTATTTAATACACTTCAATTTGTATTCTATTATAGCATAACAGTAAGATTAAAGACATGATTAATCACAATTTTAATCATGATTAATTTTATTTAATCGCATGAGTTAACTGTGATTAAATCAAGAGTAGTGTTCCCTGTAAGCAGTGCGCTTCTGCATCTACACAGAAGTGATTCAAATGCTGTCCAGCAGTTTATCAGTGCGCCCACGTCTAGGTTTTTAGTTTCTACAGGTGGTGAACTTTTATACATGCCTTAGTGCACATCATTTATTCCACACATGTGGAAAAAAATCCTCACATGGATGGAAATAATTAGAGGGAACATTGATCAATATTAGAGGGAACATTGATCAATATAGTAATATTTATAGCTTACCACTAAAATGCATGATACAACTCCCCCGTCTCTAAGTACTGATTAGTAAAGTCTTTCCTTTTAAATGAAATTTGGCAGTTCAAATTAAACAGACGTTTTTAGCTTTGAAATCCTTACGTGTGTTGGGTATGGGAGATCTGAGTCTTAAAAGTTTCTCATGGCATTTATAAGGCATTTAAGTAGGGATGTAAAAATTTATTTTAAAAGAAGTAACATATAGCAGTTACACAGCTATATGCACTGCAGAGCCTGTTGCTGCCAGCCCCGCTCCCAGGTGGGAGGTTTCGCTATGGGGCTCTGGAGCCGTCTCTGACCCCGCTCCTGGGGAGCCAGTGGTGGGGGACGAGGGGAGGAGGCTGGGCCAGCCACTGACAGGGGCTGCTCTAGCAGGCCCTGCCAGGGCTGAAACATCCCCCTGGCTAGGGTAGGCAGGGAGCTGTTTTAGCCCCCCGGAACTGTTAACGGGTGAAGCTTACCAGTTAAGTGGTTAAGCATTTACATGCCTACATTTAAGTTACTGTGAGAAAATTATTTTATTTGGGTTGTATAAAAAGACCCTTTTTCAGCATCTACTCAAATTTCACTTTCTTTGCATCTCTGCTATCACAAACCAATTAATGCTCCAGTTTAGAGAATCTGTCAGAAAAATAGCAAAGATGAAACCTTTTTAAATGTCAAAAAGCAAGCAAAAAAAAGCTCCACACACTTCCTTTAATCATCAAGAAGCAGAAGTCCCACCTTTTGCAATTACTGAGCATGTCGACTACAAAATACAGTAGAACCGCGAATTCCACAAAACACGTTCTGTTTGTTTAAGATTATTGTCATCAACTTGTAGGAGGTAAGAGTAAAGGAGAAGCAAGTGTGGGGGAAAAAAAAGGAAGCAATGAAGAAGATGGAGAAAGAATGGAATAAAATGTCTCGTAAAAATTCTACCAACTTGCTTTAAATAGAACAATCTTTAGCTATTGTGTTCACTACTTATAACAAATGACATCTTTCAATAATCTGAGATTGATTTAATTGTGTCATCACAATGCATCAATCCAAGTCAACTGTTGGATCCCACTTCTAAAAGAAATTTCTTTTGGTAGAGAGCATCTTTATCTGAAGAAAAATACTTGAAATGAGAGGATGACCTCTACTTCTTCAGGTAGAGCAGAATATATTCAGCTTAAAGGCTAGAAAAATGAAATCAAAAGATTTCCAGATCTGCATGCCTATACAGACTTTGCACTTGGCCAGTATTGGAATTTTACTCATTTGTTTTGCTAGGCTAGAGAAGTACACAGGTTTCAGCCAATAAGATGAAGTTGACATTATTTGATACATAGAATGAGGAATAGAAGTGACAGCACCAAGCATTTATGTAGCAGTGTTTGTAGATACCAAAGTCCTTTACAACAAAGGTCAATATCTTATCCATTTTACAAGTGGGGAAATGGAGGTAAGTTGAAGTGACTAGCTCAAGGTCACCCATCAGATCCTAGCTTCAGAAGAAAGTATCTTCATATATGTTCTTTGCTTTCGGACCAAGACAGGAGCCTTACAAAAATGCATATAGGGCAACTTGAAGATAAGGTTGCCTATTTAGACAGAAGACACAGCACATTAAATCTACACAAACTGATGATGGAGTCAGATACATATTTTGATTAGGACAGCAGGCCTTGAGAAGGATTCCTTGAAGCATGTGTTAAACAGATCCCTGCAGTTCAGAGGCAGACAGCCCTGATCTTGACATCAGAATTAGCTGATACTGCACCTATCATAGTTGATTAGACATAGTGAGGAGTCTGAAAGGATTGAAAGGATAGTAATCACAGTTGTATGATTAGCCTATGAGTGCTATACCTAACTGAGGTGTAACCATCTTGTTGAAACCTACCTTTTGTAAGTATACTGGATTTATTTTGATTGTGTGTAAGAACTGAGAGATACTACTGATATTTCCAAAAATATACTATTTAGAAAGAATATCAGATGAGGATTTTTGGTTTTGTGATTATGACTAGGGTTGCCAGGTGTCCGGTTTTCGCCTGGACAGTCCGGTATTTGTGGCCTCTGTCCGTTAAAAAACAACAACAACAAAAAACCAGAAAATACTGGACATGTAAAATACCAGACATTCTTTCCCTGCCATGTCTGGCAGGGGCGGGTGGAGCAAGTAAGCGTGTTGATTTAAAGATGCAGTGACTTTTTTGGGGAGGGGCAGGAGGAGCTCAACAACTTTGGTTAACCCTCCCCCCCTTTTTTTTTGCTCAACTTTTTTCCTTCATGTTCAGGATTTTTTGTGAAAGTATCTGGCAACCCTAATTACGACAAAAGCAGTGAACACTGCAGTAAAAACAGAAGTGAAAATATTTGTTTCAATGTCATTTAAATGTTTATACTTCCAACCTGGATTTATTTCACACACCTGGCAAAATAGACGATTACCAAATAGTAAATTTTAAAAGACTTACATATTTTCATTACATGATATGCCCAGAACATAGTATAATTTAGCTATGCTAATAGAAAAAATCAATTTTTGTGCCCAAGAACACCAAGTGAAAACTTGTGGCTACGTCTTGAATAACCACATGTGGAAAAAGACTCATTGCATTCTTTAAAGTGAATTTAGTGCTTGTGAGAAGCGCCCAATAGCACTGGAGATAGAACATCTCCATCTACAAAGTAAAGGCAGTGCAAGACTATCCACACCTCCTTTCTAGGGTACTTCGATCTTGACCTGAATGGGCAACTTTTATGGCTGAAAGGTCTATGCCCATGCAATTCTTTATGCATCTGCTGAGACTGAACAGAGTTACAGTTAGTGCCAACTGACACTCACCCAAAAGTAACTGGATTGATGTAATTTCACACTGATCACTCACTAGACAGCGATTATCTACTAAGCACCTGAGCAGAATTTAAACTAATCATCTAATGGTGAAAAGTTTGTTATTAGTAACGTGAACTAGTTAGTCTCCAGTGTGGCTTAACTAGGTTAAAAGGTGGTGAACAAGAAGTGAACGTTCAGAGCTACAATTCTTTTTTTCCCCAAAAATATGGAAGAAACCAAAGCTCAAGCTCATTCTACGAGTGAAAATGAGTTCTACTTGTATTAGACACATGAACAAAAATGGTTATCTTCAGTTGTCTCAAATGTGCACTACATGAACACTGCCATCTAAAAACATTAGGTTTTGAAATCTTTCAGGAAATGTATTTAACTATTTACAGCAAAAAACAGTCATGCACTTTACAAAACAATGACAGCATTTATGGCCTTGTCTACCTGCAAAAGAATTCATTCTGCAGGGACACATAATAAAACATTGTTCAAAAAGTCATAAAAATATATTATCTCTTTCCTTTAACATTTAGGTATATAAATATTGTACTGAACATGCATCATTTAGATAATTGCAAGAATACCTCCTTATAAACATAAGGTTCTTTGACTTTAGCAGTAGAAAATGATTACATGGTAAAGGAGCTATTAGAGTCAAGAATTTCAAACCAATACAGTAGACAACAGTCCCCTGTGTACAAGTTCAGAGATATATCAAGGCACCTTTTATAACATTATATAATAAAGACTAATGAATGCATTGTAAATGAAAAAAATGCATCATTCCACCAGCAGAGTCTTCAGTCTTACTGTTCACTTTTCTGTTCTTGTTTTCCATTAAGCTCTTGGTCAATTCTGTGTAATAAAAAAAAGTTAGCATATAAACCACAAATTGAGTAATCATTTACTTTCTATATTAGATAAAAAGCTGATCTTAATAGGAGAATTAAAGGTTTTATATAGCAAAAGTTTTTAGTAAATATCATTCAACTGTTAAAAACAAACATCAGTGAAGTAGTTCAGTCAAAGCAAAATGTTAAAGATCCACCTTATTATTGCAACCTAAAAATATAGATTTTAAAGGTGTTCAAAAAGTGTTTTCAAGCAGAAACAGATCTGGTATTTGGAAGAAATATTAGGAAAATGAAACAAAATTTCGCATATTGCAAGAAAAGCAGATTGCTCTTTCATTTATTCAAAGTGTCACTAACATGTAAGCCTGTAAGGCATGGAATAAAAAAAGGCCATTTTAAGAACAGAATGCAGTTTATTTTGGAAAAATAAACCATAAACAATTTTTTGGAACATCTGTATTAAATATTAAGCTGAAAGAACAGCGTGAATGTAACAGAACTCACCATTTCCATTACCACATATATTTCTAAAGTTGAACTGAATTGTTTTCTAAACAATTAGTAGAAATAACTTGCACTGTATACAGATCCTTGCTATTTTGAAATATTGTATTCAATTAGTTACTATATAGAGTTAGATGCAAACAATGCATTCCATATTTTTAATTTAGTCTGTGCATATGTACAGTATCACATGCCACTTTAGAGTCACTCAAGTAAAATGCATGCTGTTCAGCTAGGATGAGTATGGTTTAGTCAGTGCACTGAACATGGTTCTGTACAGATTCTAGTCCTGGCTCTGAGCACTGATTCTTTGGGTAAAACATTTAATTTCCATTCCTGTTAGCTTTCACTATGCAAGATGAAGATAATGATTAGTTATGTGGTTTTTGTTTGTTGTTTTGTGTGGGAAAGGGCGAAGGGAAATGCTCCTGACCTACTATGCATCCTCTTGCTTAGATTTCTGCAGTCACCAGTTGATTAAGTCAATGATTTAAGATTTATTTTTAAAGAAATTTCTGGCTTTTATGGCTGATAGGAGAACCTCTTAAATGTTAACTGATACACATGCTGTCCTGCTAAGCATGCGGACAGCTTCAGTTTACTGTTTCTCATGACATTCCCAAAAAGCAGAATGAGGATAAACAGAACTCAGGTAAGTTTCTGCCTAGAGGATTCTAAACAGCAGTTGAGAAACTGACAAGAAAACTGT